CGGTGCCGCAGGCGCGCACCGCCTGCCGCCCTTCTGCCGCGTGGTCCTAGAACCTGCGCACCCGCGCAAGTTGAGCGAGAGATCCCTAGGCGTGAGGCTAGGTGTGCTGCCAGGCGTGGCGGCGACTTGAGGAGATGTTGGAGAGCGCTAACCCGCCTCGTCCTACGCAGCCGAGAGGACAGCTATCTCCCATTGGAGAAACAATACAGAGGCGACGCTCTCGACAATTCTGGATGAGGTGGGAGGAAACCTGTGCGGTTTAACCGTGTCTGTCCCGAGGACTTCGTTTCTTCGTTTTTACATATTTTGGATGAATAACCTGTGTCAGACTCCTTAGAAAAAGACCGAGAAATAAAGTGAAAATACAGTAACCAATAACAAAGTAGATATGTTTAATTCTGAATTAAGAGAAAAAGTAAGGGATGGGGAAGGGAGACAAGCCAGCCTTCCTGCCCACCTGTTGGCCATAAATTTTGAATACCTAGCTACAAAATAAAGATCTCAGCCAGCAGGGATGAGGATGTTGCTAGAGAGAGTAGTAATAAACTCCGCAAGTGAGAAAAATGTCCAGTGTGAGATACTTAACTAGTATTAGCCAGTGGATGAATAGTTGCTGTTTCCTGCTTTCACAAAACAACGTTACACCTTGTTCTTCGTGACTGCTAGCTCCGCTTTACTTTTGCCTATTTGAGAAAGTAGTTCAAGTGAGGAGAATAACTGCATAAATCAAAGCTTGAGATATTTTTGTTGCTGAACTAGTGGTGGGGTGTTCTTCTGGATTTTTCTATTTTAATGAGCTGAGAGCCTGAATTCAGACAAAGCTCTAAGATCAAGCGTGCCTCACCTTATCTGTTCAAACCGTTCAAAAAGCAAAGCATTTAAATAAAAATTGGGTGAAAAATAGATTTCTGATGCGTGAATGTTATTTCCATAGCGATTCCGTTATAAGCTTGGGGTTGTGGAGATGACACGACAGACTGACAGGACTGAGTCCAAGACAGCAGGTGCCTTCCAGGGGCCCTCCCGCTTTCCCCTGGCGCAAGTCAGTGCCTAGACTCTGGTTTTCAGTACCACCATTCAGGTCAGAAGAGCTTATACTCCAAACGGTGGGTTTGTGGGTTCATTCATCTACTGATGAATAAGAAAATGCTATGGCTCTATGAAGGACCTAGACCATTGGAGTAGACCGATTATTTTATGGAAAGTGAAGGAAGGTATGAGTAGCTCTTCCCACAGGAGGGACAAAATGAGATAGCTTAAGCACCTGGGAAATAGGATGAACAGTGTAATGGAGAACATGTGGTCTCCCAGCAGAGAGAATGCTGCATGCCAGCCGTACTTGGATAGGGGTGATGCATGTGCCTAGGCTACAACACGGAAAGTTTCAGGGGGCAGTCTGACCCATAATGACCCCAGCAAAGGTTATGGTTTCTGGAATCTCCACTGTCTATCCACCAGTAATAGCAAAATAGCAAAAGAATTTGCCTACCTTAAAACCTTTGCTTTTTACAGTGTCAATGTGAAAGTCCAACTTTGCAAATTACTGTACTGAGAATAAACATGGCAGAGAACGTTGAAGAAACACCACAGCAGTAAGTCTGTCCCTAGGGAGAAAACAGTGTCTTTACTTGAACACAAACATAAGCCACAACACTTTCTTTGTGTACCTAGCTTCTTAAACCAGGGCTTTCTAAAGGAAATGAACTAGATGCTGGTGCAGACAGTTCAATCGTTCCAGCTGCTTGGAGCAAGTTCAGAATTTTAGCCACTCTGCTGAAAAAGGGGCAGAGAAAGGGACTACCATAACTCACAGGACACGGTGACAAACATGGACACAAACATGAACCCTCCTAGTGACTCAGTTATTCCGCAGTGCAGGTCTGAATTCAATTTACTTAGTCAAATGTCTGCTGGGTACCTTGATGTGTAAAAGCTTTGTGGTAGATACTTAAGGAACAAGAATCCTGCCTTCAGTTTTTTTTCTTTTTAGAGCTGAGGGTGTAGCTCAGTGCATACAGTGCTTGCCTAACATGCATAAGGTCTTGGGCTCAATACCACCAAAAACAAAACAAAACAAAAAAGCTGCCTATGAGTTGAAGATGGATGACAGCTACACAAACAATGTTCAAGCATAGCGAACCCAAGGGGAGAGGGAATTCTGAAAGCTTCAAACTGTGTCTTTATTTGAGAGAAATTAAGTTCTACAATGTGACATAGTATTATAAGGGTTCAGAGAACACAATGATTGTTTTCTGTTTTTAGGTTATCAGAAATACTACCACATACAAGGAGCAGGGAGAAGGGGAGGGGAAGGGGATAAAAAATTGAGATGTGTTATGTTACTGAACCAAACCCCACAAGGAATGTAATCAGGTACTGCAAACATACTGCAATAAATAAATATTACCATGTACCGCTGTCTCTGCTACCCACTCCTTTCTTCTCTCATTGTCTCTCTTCCTCTTCTTTCCCACCTGATCTCAATCTTTTCACCTTCATCTTTCCCCTTTCCTCTCTTCCACTAGGTCCCTCACTTTGTTCTTTAAATGCCTCCAGAGCACTGCTCCTTTGAGCCTTTGCACCAGCCACTCCTTTTCCCTGGACAGCATAGTGAACCGTGGTGTTAGGCTTCAACCTACACGTCACCTCCCTGGTGCCTGGTCCCCTCCTCTCAGCACATGAGAACTCGAGCTTGTCTATGTGTATTGCTCTGTCCCCAAAACCTGTAAGAGTAAGTGTTCAGTGATTAAGCTGAAACTGATGAGCACCTACAATCTATGTCCAACTACTGAGCAAATAAAAACTTAAATAATTGATATATAGAAGCTTTTTTCTTCTTATTTTTTCTCATTGAGTTTATTGGTACATTTTAGGTACACAGTACAGTTACATTCATCATTGGGATCTTGCACCTTTACATGACAGGACTTGGTTCTCATTTTTTCCCCTTGTCCCTGCCCTCCCTTCACTCCCTCATCCCTTCCCTATTTACAAAGACTTTATTTCCATTTTTTCATTTTCTCATATTTTTTTCTTTTCCCTGATTTCCTTTCCCCTACCCTTCCCACTTCCCCTACACCTTTAGCCCTTTTCTTCCTATTATACCTTGTCAATTATACCATTAGGGTCTTATCTACAATTATAGTTTTTCACACCAGAGAAACTATTCGGTATTTACATGTGTGTGACTGATTTATTTCACTTAAGAGTATAACCTCAATATGCATCCATTTTCCTATGAATGACTAATTTCTCATTCTTTTTTCATTTTGTTTTGTTTTTTCGGGGGTTTTTTGTTTGTTTGTTTGTTTGTTTGAGAAAGGGTCTCACTACGTAGTTGAGACTGACCTGGAACTCACTATGTAGCCCAGGCTGGTCTCGAACTCACAGCAATCCTCCTGCCTCAGCCTCCGGAGTGCTGGAATTACAGGCGTGCCCCACCACTGGCTCTAATTTCTTATTCGTTATGGCTGAGCAGTATTCCATTTTATAGAAAAATAATATCTTCTTTATTCAGTCTCCAACTGATGAGCAAATGGGCCATTTCCAAGTTTTAGCTATTATAAACTGTGCCGCTACAAAGCTTTTTTCTTCTTTAAGCAGTATAATAAATGTGAAAGTTCCTCAGTCACTAACAGATAATCTGCCTTCTTCTCTGACTCTATCAGGATGAAGTTTCCCATTTTCCTCAATATTTGCTCTGCTCTAAGGAGAAAGTTCATCAGAAAAAAGAAAAAAATCATGACATCTTCCATAGCAGAAAGACCTAAGCACCTGCATCTAACTTCACTAATCTCTCCTTACTTTGCCTACAGGAGTTTTTTGAAGAAGACAATGGCTTCCTTCATCCTAACCTTTCCCTACTACTTTGATTATTCTTCTTTTTGGGGGAGTAGGGTATGATTGAGATAGGGCCTAGGTTTATAGTTCAGGCTGGCCTTGACTAAACCCACTATACAGCCCAGACTGGCCTCTAACTTTTGGTTATCTTCCTGCCTCAATCTCCCAAGTGCTAGTATTATAAGCCACCACACCCAATTTACTTCTCAGATTTTTCTGAGGGGTTTTTCAGTATGTTTCAGCATAGTTTAACCATATATTTAGGGTTTGTAGCATAAAAGGTGATTCAGCTTGTGATGTTACTGTCACTTTTACATTTAGATTTGCAAGTCAGTATTCAAAAGCCACCTCTCCATTTGACCTTTAGCTTACCTAGGGCACTTGTGTGAGGGACAGCATACACACCTTCTGGGGTTTTCCTAAAATGTTCAAGTTATGCCCTCAGTTGTAAGAAATAGGCATGGCTTCCACTTCTTCTTTTTCTAAAAAAATACTCTGTTAAAATAACCAAAGATAGAAATGTTAAATAAAAGCAAAAATTCCCACATATACTTAGCACAAGAAAACCCTGTCAGATACACAAGCAACTGAATGGTGATTTCCTGGAATCCAAGTAGAAGTGTGTGAATTAGGGGACAGGATGGGAAAGAGAATTTTTACATTATACTTCATTACTATTTTTGTGTTTTGAATGATGCAAATGTATAACTTTTAAAAATTAGGTACCTCGAGTATTTTTTAAACTTATGCATATTTATGTTCTTTGTTTTGTTTTGTTTTTTAATTTGAAGTACTGGAACTTAACCCCAAGGCCTCACACTGCTATATCTGAAGCCCTTTAATTTTTTTGTTTTTGGGTTTTTTTTTTTTGTTTTTTTGTTTTTTTTGTTTTTTTTGTTTTTTTTTTTTTGAGATAGGGTCTCACTATGTAGTTCAGACTGCCCTGGAACTCACTGTGTAGCCCAGGCTGGTCTCGAACTCGCAGTGATCTTCCTGCTTCAGCCTCCCAAATGCTGGGATACTGCCCCCTGACTCACTGTGTAGCCCAGGCTGGTCTCGAACTCGCAGTGATCTTCCTGCTTCAGCCTCCCAAATGCTGGGATTACAGGCATACACCACCACACCTGGCTAATTTTTTTGCTAAATTGCTCAGGCTGTTTGTGATCCTTCTGCCTCAAGCTTCCAGAGTGATGAGATTACAGCTCAGCACTACCACACTCTGAACATGTTTTGTTTTTAAATATAATTTATCCATGTGAGTTAAATCTGGTTCCTTTCTGCCTAAACTGAATACACACTTGGTCTCTGAAATACCTTATTTAGACTCCCGAAAGGCTCTCATCTTATGCCTTCATTGGCTCTGACTCCACCTCCAAAGAAAGACAACAGTCTCTTTACACATATAAATTAAAGGGCCAGCATTTCTCTACCTCTTTAAGAGAGCTGGCTTAGGGTTATTTTTCCTAAACTGCAAAAAGGAAAAAGTTATAAGGGCAGTAAGTGGTGGAAAGAAGGGAAGTGAACCCAGCAAATTCTCTGTTTTCATGTTTCTTGTGCTTCAACCACATGACCTGAACAAAAGGAGGAAAACAGGTGATCAAATACAGGGGTGCAGTACCCTGAGCTACATTTCCAAGCCTTTCTATTTTATTTTCAGGCAGGGTCTTGCTAGGTTGCTTAGGCTGTCCTTGAACTTGTGATCCTCCTCCTGTCTCTTTCTCCAGGGTAGCTTGGGATTGATTGCAGGCATGCATCACTGTACCCAGTGAAAATGTACTTACTGTAATACAAATTCAGAAGGACCTATCAGGATGGATGTAATAATAAAATAATAAAAACAAAGTAACAATGTTGGTGAGGATGTAAAGAATTTACAACACTGGGAAACTGTTAAGAATGTGAAATGGTACAACCACTGTGGAAGGAAAACAGCGTGGTGATCCCTGAAACTTAAAACACAAAGTTACTGTATGACCCAGCAATTCCATTTCTGGATATATATCTAAAAATAATCAAATGCTAGGAGTGGAAGGGATATTTGTCCCCTTATACTCACAGCAGCCTCATTCATAATAGTCAAAAGGTGGAAACAACCCAAATGTCATGGGAGAAAGAATGGATAAATGTATGAACAAAGTGCGGTCTCGCCATGCAATGGACCATGATTCAACCTTAAAAAGAAATGAAGTTCTGATGCTCATTGAAGTTCCCCAAACACAAAAGGGCAAATATTGCATGAGTCTACTTACATGAAATAGTTATACAGTCAAATTTAAAGAAATGGAAAGTAAAATTCCAGTTTCCAGAGGCTGAGGGCCAGAAAAAATGGGAAATTATTGTTAAATGGGTACAGAGTTTCTGTTAGGGTGATGAAAAAGCTTTGGTTGTAGATCATGGTAATGGTTGTACATCATAGTGAATACATTTAAAACCACTGACCTGTACGTTTGCAAATGACTAAGATAATAAATATTATTATATTTTACCACAATAAAAATAATCCACAATTTTTTAAAACCCAAAACCTCACCAAGGACTTGTGGACAAAACAAAATACCAGTTTGTTCCTCCTCTGGGTACCCAGAGCACCAATCATTTCCACTAGTTTGATTTGCTTATAGATCCATCTCTCCTGCTCCTACAGGCCACCTCTCCTCCTTAGGAGCCATGTTTTATTGATCTCTCCATGTGTCTAGTGGGAGAGCCCCTGTTGCATTCTGAATCATGACTCGTAGGTAGAAGAGACACAAATGCACAACATAAACTAAGACTTTGATTATTGGTGTCCCTGCCCATCTGTTCCCATACTTCCCAGTCATGGACTTCCTGCGCTTTGAGAGGCACTCCTTCTTTTCCATCAGCGCTGACTCCTTGGATTTAGTGACTCAGCTTTTGAATTGGCCCCTAGTTAGCTTCCTGCATCTGCTCCTTGTCACCTCTCAGAGTCAGCAACTGAGGTTATTCTCTACCTGTCACTACCTTGGGGGGAGGAGGGGAGCAGAAGCCACCAGTCACATAAACTGAATAAGCACAATCCTAATTAATTGGCAAAATGGATGAATATCTGCCTTACAGTTAAGTGGGGGTGGATAGAAGTTAATTTCTGAACCAATCACTGGTGTGGTTACCGGTGTGGGATTTAATCTTTGGCTAAGCAAGCTTACTCCTGGAGCCAGGGCCAGCATCAGCTGAGGCATGGAGGCATGAGGATGTCTGAGGAATGGCAGCCACCCCGGGCACAACAAACTTTCTGGTGTAAGGGGAGAAGCCTGAAGTGAATGCTAGATAAACAATGTCCATTTGAAGTAAACCAAGGAAACAATTCACATCCCAGGCAGAGCTGCCTCTGATAATGTGTTCTTTCCATTCTGCCAGTGTATCTCTGCTATAACAGGTGTGAAAGAAACGTGAAAGCTAGCAGCGTCAAAATGGAGTCATTTGTGTCAACTACAACAACAATTTTATTTTTTTGTTTTGGTTTGGTTTTGGTACCGGGGATCGAAATCAGGTCTTTGTGCTTGCGAGGCAGGTGGCAGAACTACTGAGCTAAATCCCTGGCCCTAAAACAACAATTTTAAAAGGTAAATTAAGCCAGAAAGGTATGAAGGAAGGGAATCTTTCCCAAATTGCCTGATAGTAACCATCACACAAGACTCTGAGAAACTATAAGCTTACACAGGGGCCACCACAACCTTATACAAAAAGTACTACAAAGACATCTGCTCATCAATATTCTCTTCAACCCAGGACTGATGTCACTCTAAGTTATTAATTATTATCTCAAAGGATTATTGCTCCAAATCAATCTGATGTGGTCTTCACTGTTATCTTTGAAAAACTTTCTCTCACCTCAAAAATGCCCACAGTTTACTATGTCATGTATATTCCCATTGCTGTATTCTGTTATGACAATGCTATTCCCAAATTGACATTATTCTCTGAAGAACCTTTCCCTCTCATTGTTTCATTTAGGTTCCTGTCTGTGCTCATTTAAATATATCCTGGGATGTTATAGTAAAGTATTGGACCTCTGATACCCTTAGCTCACACCACATTGGAGCCTATTGTTTATATTTGTGCATGGTCACTGTCTGTCAACCTTGCTGTGAAAACTTTCTTCTACCATTACTGCTACTTAACTTTTGCATCAAGTACCACCAAGGACGATTTTTAGCCATTATGGTCTGTTCTGTGGACATAGTTATGACAGAAGAAAGACATTCAGAAGGATAACAATCTCCTTGCTAGGTCACTTTAGGATTAGGACTTGCCCTGGAAAGCCCTGAATACCTTTTCTCCTGAGTGTGTTTGTGAAGAAGTCTGAGACAGTCTCGATCCTGTAACCGAAAGCACAACAAAGAAAATTTGACCGTTTCTTTTTTCCCTAAGAGAGACGATGCAGAGCAAGCAGATGGATGAGAATATAAGTGGGCATCTTGCTAATGCCGACAATGAAGTTGGTTAGAAGAATTGGAATATGGACTGGAAAAAAATGTAATTAATTATTTTGAGTTTTCTTCCTTTTTGCCTGGATCAAAGCAGCCCAATTCATTTTCTGTGATGCAGGGTTAGTGTTTTAATGAAGCAGAACCCTGCTCAGTATAAAGACTGATTACCTGTTCTAACCTGTAAAGTGTCACTCTTAATCTCTCTCCCTTTATTCTATGCCACACTGTAATTTAAGTAATTTTCCTGCTTTCAAGACTGCAGTAGATTTCTTCCCTCCTCTTTTGTTCTTTCTTTGTTCTTTTTTTATTTTTCCTTTTTATTAAGGAAAATTTGAAACACAAATAATTGTAGAGAATAGTAAAATGAACCCAATACATTCATCATGCAGTTCTTCTATGTAGAACTTATATACAGTAAGATGGATGGATTTTTAAAAATAAGGGTATGTACCTCTTTAACTGTCACTCCCAATCAACATACAGAACATTTCCTTCACCTCTGAAAGTAGCTCAGCCATCCTCCAGGTTTAGCAGCTATAAGTACGTGGCCACCCTCTATACCCCTGCCCTCTAACCCATGGGATGACTTTGAGGCAAAAGCAGACATCACATTACTTTTTTTGTAAATATTTCCTTATATTTCTATAGGAGATAAGCAAATATTATTACCACTCTGAAATGAACAATAATTCCACATTGTCAAATACCCAGCACCTATGTAAATTTCCCCAATTTTTTAATTTCTACATCCAATCTTTACATTTGGTTCTCACCATCGCTCCATCTTACTGATTTTGAAAGCCATCCAGGTTAACATTTCTGATCTACTATCATGATTATCTGTTAATGTAATATTCTTTAGTCTAGTATAACCTTGACCCAGTATAATTTTTCCAGTTGAAGTGTCCATTATTCCTCTTCAGGCATCTTGCCCTTCAACAAGAGTTGACTATGAATTTTATATGAATATATATGTATATATGAATTCTATATGAATAACCTTGTTTACCCCTCTTTGGAAATTTACTTGTGTGGTCTCTTCCATCC